TAACAATAACAATAGGGGGTCATTAGCTTTCATGTGATCCTTCCTGAAGTTTCCTCTCGGTAGTGAGGAAAGGGGTGGGGATGAAATGCCTGAGACTGTCTCTGGGAGAAGGGGGTGATGGGGGTGGCTAAAGGGGGGACCCCTTTAAAATCTTGAGGTGGAAAGCTTTCACCCCAAGTCCTGTTTAGAACGCCTGCAAACATCTTCTCTTAATAAAGATGCCTATTGGAAGAAATATTCCAAGAGTTCTGTCTTCTTAAGATGCAAAGTGGGGTAGGTCCTTACAGTATCCCAGTATTGCTTTTCCTACTCTTTTATTGACTATGAAGGCTACTCCATTTCTTCTGAGGGATTCTTGCCCATAGTAGTAGTATAATGGTCCTCTGAGTTTTGGCCTAGTCACTTCACTCTTTCTGGCGCTACTAGTACTAGCTCTCTGCTCTTCCCCAGTAGCATATTGGACACCTTCCGACCTGAGGGACTCATCTTCCAGCATCATATATTTTTGCCTTTTGATACTGCCCATGGGATTTTCATGGCAAAGATAGTGGTTTGACATTTCCTTCTTCAGTGGATCACATTTTGTCAGAACTCTCTGCTATGACCTGTCCGTCTTGGGTGGCCCTGCACGGCATAGCTCATAGTTTCATTGACTTATGGAAGCCGCTTCACCACGACAAGGCAGTAATCCATGAAAGAGTTCAAACGGTTGGTCATAAATTAATCATAAATTGGGGACTACCTATATACTACTTGCATTCAGTGTTACAGAGAACCAAATTCCCATATTGGTTAAGGATCAGGCTAGAACCCAGGAGATTGTGAGTTCTGGTTCTGCCTTAGGTATAAAGCCAGCTGGTTGACCTTTTGCAAGTTTATCTTTCAGTCCTAGGAAGAAGGCAATGGCAAACCACTTCCAAAATCTTGCCAAGGAAACTGCAGGGACTTGTCCAGGCAGTGCCAGGAGTCAATATTAACTTAAAGGCATACCCCCAAAAAAGCAGTAATACAGCACACTCACCATAGATGAAGCAATGATAAACTTTGAGGCTGAATGGCCATGATCTAGCTTTCTCGACATTCCACCAGCATCTGTGATTGGCATCTCTAGACCCACAATGAACCACATATCCTTGTGGAGTACTTCTCAGTACCTCACCATTTTTGTTCTAGATTTCTTTTAGGATTCCTTTTCTTATTTTATGTTGGTTCCTAAATTTTCCATGTCCCATTTTGCCTAAACCCTATTCCCCTTTCTTGATGATCCCACAAAAGTAATCTGAGAACTTGAGTTATCTGTAAGTCCATTTCTCACTCTACTTTCAGGCATTTTCAAACTTGGCAACTTTAAGACTTGTGGACATCAACTCCCAGAATTCCCCAGCTAACATGGCTGACTGAGGAATTTTGGGAGTTGAAATCCACAAGTCTTAAAGTTGCCAAGTTTGGAGATCCCTGCTCTAATTAAGTTTCAACTTTAAAATACTTTTTCTAACTGTGCTTTCCTCTGCTTTTTATAATTTGCATTTTACTCTTTATTTTGGTGTTTAAATAATATTTTAATTTCAAAATCAGATCATTATAAAAATTGCCCTACAGGGCAGACCAGACCAGGAAACCAAAACCAATAGTGCCAATATGACCTTAATTGGAAGGTTGCAATAACAGAATCTTGCAAGCCTGAAACCAATTCCTCCTGCCCTGTCTTTATGTTCTAGAGAAATGGGGAGGATATATTCTAAGATACTTTTTCCACCCCATTTCTGCGTTGGACTCAGATTTTGTTTATTAGACAGTTGTCTAGGCAGCTTTCTTTCTCTCATATCCCATTATACATAGTCCTTTCTTTTTGTGTCATGTTTGTTTCATTGTTATAATATTGCAAGGGGTGTTTGCTACTTATAATATAAGCTAGACCAGGGCTTTTCAACCAGTGGTATGGGTACCACCTGTGGTACATTGGCACCTGGCAGGTAGTACACAACCATCCTAGAAAAGTGGTAGCAGGGGAGGGGAATGAGCTGAACCGGTGGCAGTACCGCACAAGCCTGAGCGAGAGATGGCTGGAGCTGCAGGACTGTCGGCTCAGCGGAAGCACCAGGATCAGTGCCGCTTTCCAGCTGATCAGCGCTTCTTCGGGGCTGTCAGGGCTCAGTGGAAGCATCTGAATCAGTACCAGGCTCCAGCTGGAGCTCAGCGCTGATCCTGGTGCTTCTGCTGAGTCCAGAAGAAGCGCCGATCAGCTGGAATGTTGCAGCCTCTCCAGGGTCTTGTGATTTACATTCAGATGCTTGGCAACTGATTCATATTTATGACAGTCATAGTGTCCCAGGGTCATGTGAAGTGACCAAAACCTGCTGCAACCACCCAGCAGATGGGTGGAATAAAAACCAAACACCTCCCACCCCACCCCCACTGCCAATCCTCAACAGAAATGCTCACAACAATGAAAACCTCGGACAGGAGGAAGAGCGCGGCCGGGTGGGCAGGCAGGTGTCTTGCTCGGCTGTGGTGTGGGGGGCACTTTTTTCAGTGCCATTGTAACTTCGAACAGTCACTAAGCGAACTGTTGTAAGTCAAGGACTACCTGTACTTTATCACTTTTTTCCTTTTGGGGGGGTCATCAAGTTTTTGACACCTTGCTAGGTGATTGGTGGTACTCGGTTATTGCCATATCCTAAAAGTGATACAATGGGTGAAAAGGTTGAAAAGTCCTGAGCTAGACCCATTTTGCTCTAGGAATGAAGCACAGGTAGCTCTCAACTTACAACCATTTATTCAGTAAATATTCAAAATTATGGCACTGAATGAAAGGAACTTATGACAGTTCTTCAAGTTCCAGATGCTGCAGCATCTCCTCTACAATTCTGGTTCCAATTGCCATCATAAGCTGAAGACTACCTGCAAAATTATTTTGTATAAGTATTTTTTGAAATTATGTTTCCCACCTATCACAGATATCTTATTTTTCAGAGGCATTCACATATCCATTCCCACTGTAAAAATTAGATCAGTTCAAATAAATGCAACACAAGATAAGAAAAAGTACTGTAGTTGAGACTCAGGATTTATAACTAAAGCAAGGGAATTATCATATATGGTCTCAGCTAAAATGGATTTAGAAGTAAGAATACAATAGGCTAAGCCAGTGATGGCGAACCTTTTAGAGACCGAGTGCCCAACCCTCCTGCCCTGCGGGCCACCCACTGCCTCCATGGCCTGCCGCAGATCGCCTAGGTGGCCTAGCAGCACCATGGTGGTCACGCCCTCTGCCCACGCCCCACAGCATCATCTGCACATGACGGGGCGCGAGGGCGGAGTCTTGTCCCCGCTGCCCGGCTGCCATGTCCTTGGCTGCGCTGTTCCGTGTGGGCCGCACCCGTGGGCGACTTTCCTCGAGGGGGGCTGCTGGTGAGGAGGGAGATGGGGGATGTGGGGCTGGGGCGACGGCCTGCGTGCCCAGAGAGAGGGCTCTGAGTACCGCCTCTGTCACGCGTGCCATAGGTTCGCCACCACTGGGCTAAGCATTAAAAGAATTAATATTATTTACTAAAAATATTATCTGCAAAAATCAATGTTTGACTAAAAAAATCCCTTTTACTTAACAATAATTGTATTAGCAAGACTTTGGGGGGGGGGGGCAGGTCATGGAAATCTCAATTATTTATACTATTATGTAATGTTTTGCCCAAAGTCAGAGAGGCATACTAAAACCATTTTTAGATCATTTAATTTAGAAGTGCAGAGACCTGCTCAAAAAAGTTGCAAAGTCAAAGGAAAAATAGAATGGACCAATTAGTAAAAGAATATAATTAATTTAATGTAATGTAATTTTAAAAAATATATAGTTAAGAATATTGCATTTAATAATTTTTCCTCCATTTGATCCTAAAAAGTAATCCTTCCCACCACATCTGAAATAACATTTCTTTGTCTTTTAAATTTTTATTATGTTTTTTAAAAGTATAAAAAAACAAAGAAATCAAAGAAAAAAGTTAAAAAGGAAAGGGATAAGGAAAAGCAAAGTTGAGGCCTGCAAACAAAAAAAGAAAAAAACTATAGAAAAGGATAACTTTTAACTTTTTTCGATAGGATGAAAATTTAAAAACAATGCCTTTTTGAACTACAATAAACCATAACAAACAATCTTCTATCACCACTACTATCATAAAAACTCTTAAGTTTAAATTTCATTTTTTAGTTTCAAATAAAAATAGCAAGAATAGTTTTCAAGTGGAAACCAAATTAAATAGATAGTCATCAAAGCAGTCAATTTTGCCTTATCCTCATACTCCATTAATTTATTCATTAATTCTTCCATTGTTAGTACAGTATATGTGATTTCTTCCATCTCTGCACATAGAGAAGCCTTGCTACTGTTGTCATATATAAAAACAAAGTTGCATTTTTTCTGTCTGATTGTCAATCAAACCTAAAAGAAAAGCCTGACTTCAATTATACATTCAGTTTAAGAATCCTCTGAGTTAAAATACGTAACTGATTCCAATAAGTCTTAACTTTCTTATATGTTGAAATAACTTTTCTTTATAAGCCTTTGTTCGTACGATTTATATCATCTCATTAACTTTTCATTTTTCAAAATTACCCAAAAAGACATTGATGGCCTTTATCAAGCAATGCATAGGACTGACACTTAAGTCACACTTGATATTCTCTTCAAAACAAAAATTGAAATAATTCTATTTTTACTTTCAGACACTATCTGGTTTGCCAGATCAAGATTCTTTCTATGATGTTATTGACTGTCTAGAAGAGCTTGGGATGGAAATTATTTCCCAGAAGCATCTGAACAAGAAAGGATTAGATTTGGACTTAGTAGAGCAATTCAACATTTATGAGGTAATATAAAATGTCCTTCTCCTTTACAGTTTGGGAATATTGCATAGCTGAGTTTGCAAGAAAAGTACATTTATAGTACTACTTGCCTATTTACTTTTATTCGGAGAGGCAAAGATACGCATATGCACTACAGATGCAGAAACATGGTAGTATATTTTATTGTAAAATGCATTTTTTACTAGGCAGGGATAATACCAAAATGTAAGCAAGCGTATTTATTTAACTGTGTGACTACAGTTGAACTGGGTTCATATTGATAACTGTAATATTGATGCAGTATATTAGTTTTACACTAATAGAAAATAAAAACATACAGCATTAAGAAAAGGATCTGCTTCGAAGTATTCCACATGCATGATTATTATTCAGAATGATGCATTAATTGTATAGTAAGTTCTTTTATCACTTTATATTAATGATATTTCCCACTAGACTTCCAGCTTTGTTTTCCATCTTTCTTTATAAAGAGCATATTCTTTATAAAGAGCATATTCTTAGCACTATCCAAGATCTCTGTCTCTTCTTCCTTGAACCAGTCATCACTTCTTTGAGTTGGCCCATGTGGGAGTGCTCAAGGAGCAGTTATTCAGTGCCATGCCACCTTCCTTTTCTTCCCTCATTGAAGCACTGGATATATCAGATAGCAACTCATAGGATAGAAGCATCACTCTGGAGCTTATTGTTGCCCCATTATTTAAGAGGAGGGGGAGACTACAGGATTCAGGAAGTGGGATAAAATGTGACTTCCCATATTCCCTGTCCCACAACTCTTTGCACAGCTTTTCTCTTGGAGTAAGAGGCAAGTCAGCAACTTCACAAATTACAGCAACCTTATGAGGACATGGGGCACATTGGCTTCTTTGATGATTATGTATGAAATCAGCTTTTACACATTTGCAAAAATCAAGCAAAGAAGAAACAATGTGAAACAATCAGTGATAAATTATTTAAGGAAGATCCATTCTTGGGTTTAGCTTCTTTGCTTATGCTGTCAATATAAGTGATAAACAATAGTGTTGATAGTACACATCCCTGTTTTATTACGGCTATTTCTGTGAAGGGTTCCAATGTTTGTTGGTTTGTTGTAACTACACTTCTGCAATCGCTGTACAAACTTTTGCATGCTTTAATAAGATGTTTACTTACTCCATATTTGGTCAATGTTCTCTATAGCAATTTCCTATCAGCTCTATGAAATTCTTTCTCTTGGTCTACAAATGCGATAAAGAGATTCTTACTGTATTCTCTATTCTTTTCTATTAATTGTTTAAGCACAAAAATTGCATCTATGCAGCTTCTATTTGTTCTAAAATCCATCTGCTCTTTTGCTAGTTGTGGTTCTTTAATTGGTCTTAATTTGATTTCTGTTATCTTGGTGTACATTTTCCCTACATCAGGGGTCCCCAGCCCACAGACTATAGTCCAGTACTGGGCCGCGACCCATTGAGAACCAGGTCGCACAAGCGGCACACAAGCACTCGAAGCTTCATTTGCACAAATGGCACACAAAACCATCCCCTCCACCCCACCAGTCCACAAAGCCAAAAAGGTTGGGGACCGCTACCCTACATGACTCAAGAATGAGATGCCTCAATTCTGTGTGCATTCTCATTTGCTCCCTTTATTTTTCCACAGTAGTATTATTGCTTCATGCCAATCAGTAAGTTCATTAGTTGTGTCCATGCTATGTTAAAGACTCTATGTAGTCATCTGATGCTGCTTTACCCTGTGATTTGAATTACTGCTGTTGATAGCCTATCTATTCATGATGCTTTGTAGTTTGGTGACTTTTTAACACTCTTGCTACTTTATCAATCAGTATTTCTGGCTCTAGCTCTATCATTTTGTGGTCTTGTGTTGCTTCTTCATGATACTGTCCATGGGTTGAGGAGCTCTTTGAAGTATTTCTCCATCTTTCTATGATTTCTGATGGTTCTGTTAGTGGCCTTCCCTTCATGTTATAATTCTCCTCTCTTTTCCATATACTTTTGACTACTCTAAAAAACATTCTGCAGGCTGATGTCTATGTTTTTCCAAAGCCCTCACAGGATTTTTGTTTTGCCTTCTTGATTATCTTGTTGGTATCTCTGAAATCTATAATTTATATAATCTTCTTTTCCTGATTTTATACAACATTATATAGCCTTTTCCCACCTTTACTGCTTCTTTAACCTCTTCACACCACCATGCACTGTATTTGGTCCTATTCCATCTTTTTCCACTTTTCCTTTTTCCATATAATCCTTCTGCAGTGTTAAGCAGGGTAGTTCTGTATACCTATTCATTCTCCACATTTTCCACCTCTGGTGATAGTGGATAAAATACTGTCTCCACCTTTTGTTCTGTTATTTCTAGCTTAAATTTTGTTATCTTAATTAATTCCTGGTTTTCATTTGTTTTTTTTTCTGTTAATATTAAAGTTATCATGTCTTGCTGTTAGCTCTACAATCTTATGAAAGATGTCACATAGTCTATTGGGGATAGCTTTTGGATCAAATATTCTGAACCTTCTTTTTACACTTGTTAATATATAATCAGTCTGGCTTTTAGGGATGTTGTCATTCCATTTATACCATATTGTGAGTCTCAGTGTTCAAAAAATGTATTAATAATAAAAAGATGGTGTTGGTTGCACAAGTCCACTATCCTTTGCCCATTCTTGTTCCTTTCACTGTTCTTAAAAGCAGATGGGCCAATGAACTGTTCATATTCTTTTCTGTTAGTACCTACTCTACTGTTGAAATCTCCCATTACATACAGCATACTATTAGCTTCCACTTTCTCTATCTTTTAAGATAGTTCATTGAAGAACTCATCCATTTATTCTTCTGTGTAATTATCATTGCATGAGGCATGTAATTGTACCTATGTTTCAGTTTGTTTTTCTCTCTAGATTTTCAATATTATTATTTTATTTGAACAGTGGTTGATGTCTAGTATGCATTTTGCAATGTCTGGATATATGAAGAATCCTACTCCATTCTTTGCTGTGGCCCTTCCAGAGTAAATAAACAAGGAGCCTTTGAAAACTTTCTTACTGCCATGTCCTTTACATCTTATATCGGCTAGTCCCATTATCTTGATCCCTCTTTTTTCCGTTATTTCTACAATTTCTTCTGTTTTATTCCGCATGGCAGCTGTGTTCAAAATAGCTATTTTGTTCTCTCTGTTCTGTCTCTCGGTCCTTTAATATTGCCATGGTAATTTTTTATTTGATCAGTCCATTTGTATCTTGTTATGATTCTGATGCAACTTCACCAGAGCCCCTTTAGCAAGGCCATTTCTGGGAGACCCAGGATAGCCATGGCTGCCGTAAAGGTCCTGTGCCACAAAGCCATGCCATCCCTTGCTTTCTCCTGTTTCCACCTCCCACAATGTGGACATGGGGTTGGTCTTTAAGAGGCAGGTAAAGGAATAGAGAAATAAATACATTTAGATTAATTTATTTTCTGTGGTAATATATTTCTCCATGAATACTATTTCTTCAAATTTTCACAGTAGTTTTAACTTCCTCCTTTTAGCTGATGGAGACTATAATTGTCTAAACTATTGATAGCAAAAGATTTTAATTCCCAGTTCAAAATAAAACCATTTTTTAAACCTGGGTACAGCCTCTCTGCTATGAAAGGGTGGTATCTAGAGTTGTAGGAATGAGAGAGGCTATTTCAGTAATGGCACAAGGAACAGATTGATAGGGATTAAAAACAGCAGAAAGTCCCCTCTCACATTGCTTTTTTGATCTTCCACAAATACACATCTCTCCATCTTTCTTTGAAATTTCAACATCTGTATTTTTCGTTGCAAGGGTGCATAACAAGGAACAGGAAATATTTTAGGTGAGAGTTGCACTTAAGATGTCATTATTTTTACTTTCAGTCTCTGAGGGCTCAGGGGGCATTTCTCTTGTGTGCACACAGGAAACATGTTATATTTGAAATTTCTATATAAACAAATTGATTCTTCAACATTTGTAAGAAGCATCTGAAATCTCCTGTTGCCCTGCATAATACAGATTATTGAAGCCTTGATAAATAACAATCATCAAAAGACATTTCCATATATCTTTCTGAGACAAAACAAATATATAAATCATTGTATAATGTATTATATGCATTATTCCCTACACTTTCCCTTTCATTTTTTTAGATGGTATTGAGACATGAAGATGATGATAGTGGAGAACCTCTTCTTATTGCCTGCAAAGACAGAAGAAGGGCCAGTCTTGGTTCCAGTGAACGAAGAGGGCTGGAACGTAGGAAGAGCAGGAGGCATTCCATTCAGAGTGTCAAGAATACTTTATCAGCCCCTGCTAGCCCCTGCACTCATTCAAGCCCTAATTTCATGTGTGGCCATAGACAGAGCACTGAAGAATATAGTAAGAAGTAGGTATAGAAATAAGAAATGTTCCTAAATTCTTTTTGCCTTTTATATTTTCAAATTTCTGTGACTTATAATTGGCTGATATAACTTCACACCCACGGTTCTGATTCATTTTGCTTAAAATGACATACACTCGTGTAACATTTTCACAACATGCTATTTGCTCAGTTACCAAAAATGAAATAAGGCAAAGAATTAATTCCTAGGGAAATAGTCAACCTGTAGGAGTTGATAGTTTAACAATTTTCCAATTAAAACAAAAAGGAATGAATGCAAACATCTTATTTATTTACTGATAAAGTATATGGGGGAAATAAAAATATGGTGGCTTGGTGTAATTACAATCATATAAGAATTCAAAAGAACTGGGGACTTCCGGTGGTGATGCTGCGCTGATGGCAGTTTTTTTTTAGGCTGCCAGTCCTGTGATTGTGTAAAAGTCGAGGAGACAGCGAAAATCAGCTGTCCTGCGGCTTGAAAACCTCCTTTCTCGGGAGAAGAGGGGGAGGAGAGTTTTCCTCGGGTAGAGGTAGAGCTCCCCTAGCCCTCCTTAATTATTTGGAGGTCGGAGGGTGAGAGTTCCCTCGGAGCCCGAGGCTTTCTCCGCACTCCAGGACGCCTTTGCCCTCAGCTTCAGGAACAAAGCAAGACGCCGCATCCACATCTGCATTTTAAAGGGATTTGTGAGTAATTTAAAAGCAGACAGAGCTGACCAGGAGAAGTTAAAATTGCAAGTGCTGGAATCTTTAACTCGGCGAGAAATAATCTTCTCCATATTTTAAGTTGACTTATAGGGGGAAAAATGGTGCCGGAATGCTGTTTTTTTTTGTGTTTGAAAGGACAGTGTTAAGAAAGAGATACAATTGGTAACAAAGTTTAAGGGGATAGTGAAACTTATAAGAAGTGGATTTATACAAACAGGAAATGGCTTCAAAGCGTTTAGGAATTTCTGCTGTTCCTAAAAGTACAATTTCTTCGCCTGTAGTACAGCCTGCAGTGCAATCTAAACATAAATCCCCCCCCCACCTTCTCCTCCACCACCTGCATTTATGCTTAAAGATATTCAAGATGCTTTAAAGCAAGCAACACAAGAAATAAAGGAGGAGATGGCTGATCTCCTTGACAGTAAAATAAAGGAGGAGATGGCTAACCTTCTAGAGAATAAAAATAGAGAAATGAGGGAAGATATATTGCTTGCACTTCAAGGGTTAGCTACACATATTGAACGTTTGGATGACCGGTTGGATGAAGTTGTGGAAAACACTGAAAAACTAGAAAGCAGAGTTGTCAAAGTTGAAAATAAGATTGATATAACAGAGGATGAAGTTACCATCTTACAATATAGAGATATGGAATTTGCATTGCGAATAAGAGGATGAAAGGAGGATCCACGAGAAGATCTGAAAGAGGAGGTGGCAAAAACTATAGCTCCTATTCTGGGATATGTACCTGAGGAATTATCAAGAGAGATGGATAAAATATTTAGGGTTAATTCATGGATTGTGAGGCAGAAAAATTTACCCAGAGATGTGGTTATTTATTTTTCTAAGAGATCCCTTCAAAATGTAATTATTCAGGCTTTTTACAAACAGAGATTCCAAATTGCAGATCAAAATATTATAATTTTAAAGGAGATACCTCCAAAAATTCTTAGAAAAAGAAAAGACTTCGCCTTTCTGTCCAAGGAGCTTAAAAATCGACAGGTCCAGTTTAGATGGGAGATACCTATTGAAATAGTGGAGAATTATGCAGGGACACGATGTAGACTTAATACAATTTTAAAGGCAAAAGATTTGTATACTCATGTCCTGAAAGCAGGTTCACCACCATCTTTATGACCTAAGAGAATAGAAGAAAGGCTGGAAGATAAACATCTAGTTGAAGGCGCAATGTCACTGGTTGTAGGAGACTCACCACAGGCTGAGCCTATTGATCAGAGTTTGGAGGTAAAGGATGATTCAAAGGAACAGAGGATGACTCGTGCTGCGTATAGACGTAAAGAAAAGGAGCAGAAGCAGAAGGTTAATTCTGGAGCAAAAATACAAGGCCCGATTATTTTTTATTTATTCACAACTTATATGCCGCCCTTCTCCCCATGGGACTCAGGGCGGCTCACAGCATGTTAAAACAATATAAAACATTTCCCCTCTAAAAGCCAATTAAAAACCAAATATTTGTTGCTGTGTCTTGATAAAATCCTTAAAATTGTCCCTATTTAAAATTCACCCTAGGTCAGACCCGCTTGCTGAAAAAGCC